CACACACACACACACACACAAACACAAAGACACAAATACACAAAGTCTGAAGAGTGACAGGCCACACCCTGAGGCTTTTAGGGTTTGTAATAAGAAGGCTGACCCGTGTGCAACTTCCTTGCCATTTCTCATTCAAGGAAATGTGTCATTTACCACATGGGAACCCACTTTTAACTTCCTTTTATGTCAGACATCTGAACTGTATGAACAAAACCATAATTAGTAAGTTAATAGTACGTAAATGATGCCTAACTTTCCTTGGTGCACTCATTGCGTTTGGCCATGCATTATTCCACTCAAAAAGTACGCTCATGATCGATGTTGTATTGCAGCAGGGGAAGTTGGATTAATGGCAAACCGAGAGATTCCACCATCGGAAGCAAACAATGCTTTGAGGTAACCACCACTAGCTTCGATCGATCAATCCCCTCACTCTTTTTTATTTAAATTTACATTTTAGGCCTAACATTCTTCAAGTTGGGGCAAATGATCGATATACCAAATTTAGCATTAATTGCTTCAATATTTGTGCCCGCGAGCATAAATGTACATGAATAGGAATAGACGGAAACTACTAATAAATAAGCCTTAATTTGCTAACAATTGCTAGTAAAGTATATAGGATGCTAACTAATTAACGTGTTGCAGCTGATTGTTTTATACAATTGTTGAAAATAAAATCTTTAATTAGAAGGAACTCAGCTCAGAGAAAAAATGGTTCTATTTAGAATTTCCTTTTAACGCCGCGGGGAAAACCATACAAAATGATTGATCGTTTGAAAGTTTATGTGAAGGTATTCATACGTTTAATTATCATATAAAGATGATAAAGCGTATATTACTTGGAATGTTAAGGATAACGTATACTTGGTGGTAGGGTGATTATGAATGCCATAATGTCAATATGATTGATGCCCAAATTGATGTCTAGTCACCTTTTCCCTTGTGCAGGAGACACAATCCAAAAGCATGGAGATCCTATCAGATTTGAATTCATCATGTCTTTCAGCTGAGGCGGTTAGCCCAAAGAGACCCAACCTTGAGTTCACCTTGGGAATTATGCCACATTGATCTTAAATGATCGAGATAAAGCACCGGGTGATCCTAGTTCGTTGTACTAACGGAGCATCAAAGGGGTGTCAACCGTTGAACTAGCAGAGTTTGAGATTTTTTTTCCCCACTAATCTAGCGGTTGACGTTTCTTTGGTGCATCATCAGTGCAATGATCTAAAATCACTTGGTAATTAATATTCTCTACTCATTTGAGATACTAACATGCATGCAACCAAGGAAATTAACTAAAGAAAGAAAAGCAATTAAAAGTGGAAGAGAGAAAGACGAGGAGACCATTGAGGTAGAAAGAAAGAAAAGTAAAAGGGAAGTTGTGTTAAAAGACCATCTTTCACTGCAAAGCTACATTGAGCTTATCTATCATAGGAAAGTTAGAGAGAGAGAGAGAGAGAGAGAGAGAGATGACTAGGAAAAAAAATATCAAATTTTGTGGATTGGGAGTTACTAGGTAGAAAAGATATAGATAGGGATAGATGAACAGGGGTATCCTTAATTATTTCGTACCTGATGTGCACGTGGCTTTGCTTTGTAGTTTCCCAACAAAGATAAAAGTCCAAGGGAAGGACAGAGCACATTTCAATCATATGAAAGGATCTGCCATGGCCAATTACAACTCTCAAGCTTGCTATATAGCTTTTGATCCGTATCCCAATTTCATTAATGGACTATTAATTAACTATCAATTAGTTGTTGATTTTATAAGCTTCTGTCTGTTATATATTGCTAATTTCTTGCTTACTTTTTCATAAATTCTTCGAGTATATATAAGGTGATTATATATATAGAGGGACATCTCTTTTTTTCTCCATATTGGATGGTGAATAATTCTAGTCTAGTGAGAGAGTTCATGAGCTACATATATACGGGTTTGCGCTCTCTTTCCATACACAACATAAGAAGTAAATAACTTATGCAACATACTCTATCCTTTAATCAGCAATTAAAAGTTTTAAAGGTCCCGTACGAACTTTGAAGTTAGGGTGATTGTTATAACTTTACGCATCGACGTGCCCCCTAATTGAGCGCCCTCTCATGAGCTGAAACCTAGACTGACAAAGCGATACCGCTTGTTTTTAATTTTAGAAATTTGTGACTAGTAAGATTCGAACCCGAGTCACTCTAGTGCCTCGTTAAAAATCCCCGGCGCTACATTTACCAAACTTTTAAGTTGTGATGAGGGTCAAGAGTTATATTTAATATATTCTAACAAAAAGTACTTGTTAGTATTCAAAGGAATCATGATAAGTGAACCTGTTATACTAAATATTACAGCAAACTCGCTTATTCCAACATCTCTTTGTTCTTCTTCCTCATTAAAGTCACATTCTCCAAATTCAACATGTCAAATTGTAACATGCTAAATTCACTAGTAAGAACAAATGCCGCACGAGACATGCATCTTGTGCATGCATGTATCTATACAATAATATGTGTAATTAATGTTTTATAATTTGTAACCTCCCCCTTTTACGTACAAGGGTCATATATATACATACGTGCAAGAATTGCAGCCTAGTTTTGTACCATTATGATTGAATAAGCTTTTGGTTTTTCTAGGTGGTCCAAATCAAAATATTTATTGTACATTTGCATTGATTCAGGCTCAAAACAAAAAAGGGAAGTTATTTGTTAGGTGCAACCTTATTTATTGGTTAATTCACAAACATTCATACTACTGCAAGACACAGCTGGATGTGTAAGAAAAATTATATATGCACATCAACTGCACCTATCACACCGTCACGTATTAATACTTTGCTTCCTTCCCTATGAAATCAATAGATCGTATATATAGCCTTCTTGTGTCACATCAAACCTTCCATTGTTTCCAAATATACACAATATTACTTGTTAGTAGGGAAATTGAAAGGCAACTTCTCAAGCAAAAAAAAAAAAAAAAAAAAATTTGAATTTCCACTTCAAAAAAAAAAAAAAAAAAAAAAAACATTTGAATCTCGCATCCTATGCACCCATTTTCTTTGAAGATTGTAGAGTGATCAAAGAAAGTTCATGATTTGTACACAATTAGCATCAAATAACATATCACAAGATTATTTCCATGTTTGCTTACACTTAATTAATTAAGGACGAAACTTAATTATTATCGTAGCTGGACGGGATTTTTGATGATCAAATCCTAAATTGATCATGAGTTTTAAATGGAAAAAACTTTCAAGTTAAAGTGCTATTAATTATTTGAGAAACATTTTTGAAGTATGAGAAGGAAGGAAATTGAAATTAAGAAGAAAGTTATTTAATTTCCATCCCTACACAAATTAATATTCCATATATGAAAACTTCATATATATATAATTCCGTGTTTTATTTTTTCCATATAAGAAGTAATTTGGGCGTATATATATATGTGTGAGTTGTTCCCTAGGACCGAGTCTTTGTACATTTGTGTCTCAGATTTGCCTGCAGAGAGAGTGAAGACCTCTATAAGCAATAATTGATGCTTTCTTTTCCTACTGCAGCCCTTACCCCTGCTTTTATGCCTCAACTTTGGACTCAACCTCATCCCAAAGTCCCTCTCTCTCCTCCATGCATTGAAAAAGTAATTAAAAAAGGGGAAAAAAAAGATTCACGTGTACTTTCTTTAATTTATTATGTCATACAAAATTCCTAATTAATTAATATAGCAATGATATGGAGAGAAACAACGATTTCCTTGTGGTAGAATTATACAACTTACAATTACTTTTTTCCTTTTCCTTTGACAAAACAATTACTCTTTTCTTGAAACAATTTATTTGTTGATCAGCTCGAACCAACTTATAAATGCACTAGGGAGAATCATCTTTATATAATCTAAGTCTTGCAGACTTGCCCAATATATACACTCTCATTAGCCAAACAATTATTTTATATATAAGCTTAATCAAATACAACTTTTTAGTTTGTTAAATTCAACAAAAGTACCTTGTACTCATGTTGATTGAGACAATAACTTATATGTCTACATATATTACACCAAGGTTATCTGCAAAGGTGACACAGTGAAGTAACAAACAAATACAATTATAGACAAGCTGATTAGGATCCTTTTCACTATAAATAAAGTAATAGAGATACCTATTATCGTTTATCATAACTATTGATTTGTTTAAAGAATGATCATAATTCATTTTAAAACCTGCACTCATTGTAACTCGCACGAATCACACACATTTCTAATTTATACTCAAAACTAATCAACGATTATAATAAAAGTAATAATCTCTCCACTCTGTGTATTGAAAGCGGAGAAAATTCGATAATGGAGGCATGTTGTCTTAAAACCAAATACAATTGTAAATATTCTTTCACAAAAAGGAAAGTTTTTTCTTTTTTTTTTAAATATTCCAATTTACCTCGGATTCGGATCCTCTCCACTACAAAAAAATTATGGAGGGACCACTACATAATCACAGCCATTGATTATCTAGTTGATGGTTATGATTTTTTCTTTTAGTACAAATTAGGAATGAGTGCAATACAAAACGGGGGTATGGTAAGTGTTAGATTTAGATTGTATCATAACCGCCTACTAAATAATCAATGCTTGAGATTAAAAGTAGTGATCCCTACCACTACTTTTTTGTAGTGGAGAGGATCCAAATCCATTTACCTAATAATAAACATAATAAATAAAGTGTCATGGTTCCTTGTTTACTTGTGTGTGAAGCAAATGAAAAGCTCTCTTACAAATTTCCCATTTAGAGGCAGGAGAACAAATAATAAAGGTTTTCTTTTCACAGCCCCCGGCACAGTGCCAACTCTCACCCTTTTCTTTATCATCACTGACAAAATCAGTGAGAAAAAAGAGAAAGAGACCCTTTATCCCTTCATATAATTAAAGAATGATTACGCTATGATATGGGGGTATATATTGTGTATGAGTCCAAAATCCAGAATCCTCTCTCTCTACTATATATATATATATATATATAATATATATATATATATATATTATAAATATATAATAGTATATATGACTATAATATATATACCTCCGCTCTGACAAGCACAAAAGGGCAACGAGGCAGCTGTTCTTGTCAGCCCTATTCCTCGTCGTGGGTCCAATGAAATGAAACATGTCTCTCTATTGGAGCCTTGTTCATAAGAGCCCAGTCCTATTACTATACATTATCGCAAATAGCTCCTTGCTTCTCCC